GGGAAGCCGCAGGGGTTTCGAGCCATTAACCATCAATCTCAGAGCCCGGCATGGATTTAGAATCCCGGGCTCCCTACGGGCCGCAGGGCATTTCTGTCTCTAGTGACAATGTGGCTTTGCCTCATTGGGGACAAGGCCCCAGGGAGCAGGAGTGGTCAGTTATGGGTGCTGGGCAGTGCCAGGCCCCCCAGGCTGGAGACATTCAGTCCCTTCCCAGGCAGAGGCTCTGATCTGGGCTTTCCCAGATCCTGCCCTCAGGAGGGAGCCAGCTTATTTGTCAAAGTTTTTAAGTCACGCAAACTTGAAAAGCATTTAAATTAATTTGAGTGTTCTTTATTTTTTTCTTTTTTAAAGAATTATTTATTTAATTTTATTTATTCATTTTATTTTAAAATTTGATTAGAAAGACAGAGAGAGAGAGAGTGAGAGAGGGAAGAAAGCAAGCTACCAGGTCCGAGACTTGAACTGTGGTTGGCCACATGGGAGTCCAGCACCCTTATCCACCATGCCACCTGCCGACCCCTTGAGTGTTCTTTTTAAAAATCGAATTGAGAGGGACCAGCAGTTAGTGTAATGGCTATGTTGCTGAACTCCCACGTAGACGACCGCGGTTTGAGTCCGGGACCTGGGGCTTAAACTCACACCGGGTATGTGTGTGTGCGTGCCCAAGATCCCGAGAGGAGAATGGAGGAGAAGGGATTGCGGTGTGGCCATCCCCCCTGGGGGGTGATTTCTCACTTTCTGTCTCTCTGTCTCTGTCTGTCTGGCGAGCGCAGTGCCCTATAGCAAAAACCTCTCCAAAAAAAAAAAAAAAATCAAATTGACTGGCCTTTCTTAAGGCCTTTTACCACATAGACACACAACATATAGCACATGATAACATGTATGCATACATACACACGGACACATGCGAACAAAAGAGCTCATGTTTTCTGAAAAGTTTTGTCTCCTTTTTAAAAATTGAGATGTTTAGATGTTAAGATCCTTAGGTGCTTATCTTCGAGGCTTTGCTAAAAGTGTGAATACTCTCAGCGATGTTTCTGTCAGCTCCTGCAGAGCTGAGGGTTTTCTAATTTAGCCCTAGGTTTCTCCAGCGAGTCAACCACGACCACAGATGTTTCTAATTAGCATAAAGGCTAGAAAGTTTAACAGGACAGATTATAATATAGTTAGAAAAACGGTTTGTCATGGTGTGCCCTAGAATTTTTAGAGTTTTATTTACTTGGTTATTTTTAGACCAGGCTCCCCTTACTTTCCATTTTTTATCAGGGCCAAGCCTATTGCAAAGGAAAATGAGCCTCCTCCTCTTTTAACAGTTCAAAGGCCAAACATTCCGGGTGAGAGAGGATGTGCCCCAGCGGGGAGGCTTGGAATTGAAAGATTTTCCCGTCTAGAAGGAGGGAAAGATAGATCTTTTTTGGGTTCAAATTTAATGGAAGTGGCCATATTATCCGATGGAGATTCCCGGGACAGGAGTCACGGGGTATGTGTTCTAACGAGGCTCCAGGACGAAAGGGCGGAGATGGGAATAGGCTCCCTGACCACAGCTTCCTTTTAGTGTCCGCCCTACTTGTTCCCAAACCTCGCGGTCTAACCTTCTCACTCAGGAGACCAGGGACGGTATGGCTGTCTGTTAGCAGTAGGAGACATAAAGCTTTAGGCTTTTTAAAAATTAATTTATTTAATTCCGTTTGTTATTATTATTTTTAATTTGATCAGAGAGAGGCAGAGAGAGAGAGAAACAGAAAGCGAGAAAGCAAGCTCCCAGGTTCAGGACTCAGACTGTGGTTGGCCATGTGGGAATCCAGCACCTCTAACCACCATGTGACCTGCTGGACCCAATAAAGCTTTAGTTTATTTTTTTCACTCCTCTTTTAAAAACTATTTATTTATTTAATTTATTCATTATTTTATTTTAATTTGACCAGAGAGTGACACACAGAGAGAGAAGGAAAGTGAGAAAGCAAGCCACCATGTCCAGGACTCAAACCGTGGTTAGCCATGTGGGAGTGTCTAGCGCCTTAACCACCACACTACCTGCTGGTTCCCAGCTTTAGTTTCTAAAGAGCATTGAGCAGTTTTAAGAAGCTGCTGTAAGGTTTTTAAAGAAAGCTTTTGGGGCCTACTTAGTTTTTGCCCCGTGTTAGAAACCCCTCTCTGAAGCTACGAATGCCGGTCCCTTCCTCAAAGACTGAGTAGGGACTGTCCCTTACCTGGTGTAGGTCCCCAAGCAGATGGGCCCACGATGCTCTCTGAGTGTTCAGATTCCGTGGCAGCACGTCAGGTCACCTCTTGTGACTCCTCTGTCTGGCAGTGACCTGAAATACAGGAAGCCCTGCTCAGCCCTGGGGTCAGAGGGAGAGGGAGGCCCCAGGGTGCTCCTGCCCAGCTCGCCCCCACCTCCTATTCACTGGGCAAAGGGGAAGGAAAGTTCATTTTAGAGAGTTGTGTCTTGGAGGGTTAGGACGATAAGGCCATTCCTGGAGCAGGGTGGTGGCAGTAGATAAGGGGGGTGTGGCTTGGGGATCCGAGGCGGACAATTCGCCCTGCAGCCTGGAGGCGCATTGTCAGCGCACACGCCCATGCCGTGGCCTCCCGTTGTTCCGTAGGAGGGCAGGAGGGCGCGCGTTCGCCGGTCCCGGCCGTCGTTCGTTCAGAGCTCGTAAACCCACGGCCCTCCGCTGCTCCTGGACAACAGAGCCCTCGCTCCACAGGGCGGCCAGGCCACGACCCCTCCCCCCGTCCACCGATCGATCCCGGGCTCTTCACGTGTCCCCGGCTTGCTTCAGGCTGACCGGGCAGGAACTCGAACCACGTCGGCCTGTGCACCCCGTTCTCGTGAGCAGCACAGCTCTGAGCTGGCCCCCAAACTGGGAATTCTTTGTTTTTTTTTTTTTTTTTTTTTGAGAGATTTTTTGTTATTGGGTGCCTGTTCTTTCCAGAGAGCCAGAGAGAGAGAAAGTGAGAAATTGCCCCCCAGGAGGGGACGACCATGCTGCAATCCCTTCTCCATTCTCCGCTTGGGATCTTGGGCACACAGGCTCACACGCCCAGTTTGAGTGTCAAGCTATTGGGCCAGGACTTGAACCCGGGTCAGCCATGTGCGAGTCCAGCACCTTAACCACTACGCCACCTGCTGGCCCCAACTAGAAATTCTTGAGGGAGCCCTTGTTTCTCTGTCTAACCCAGGAGGTTGGGGGAAGGTTCCAGATAGTGGCTCTCCAAGGGGGTGGTTTTGCCCTGCCCCACCCCCATGGCATGTCCGGAGACATCTCTGGCTGAGTCTGCAGTGTGCATGCGTGTGAGTGTTTACCAGAAATGCTGGCAAATCGCCTCCAATGCACAGAGTAGCTCCCCACCAGTAAGAATGACCCGCTTCAAATCCAACAGTGTGAACCCCCGCTCTCCTCCCCAGAGGGCCCCACCAGAGCAGCCATGGGGACCTGCCCCGGGGCCAGGAGGACCAGCCATGGTGTCCGCAGCCTAGCAGGGAGCTGCGAGGGCAGGCTGGCTTTGCTTGGAGGGCCCTGGCTGGCTGCCCCCAAGGCCTGTGGCAGGAGAGTGTCGGGCCAAGTTGAGGTGACCCTGTCCCTTGGGCTCTGGAGCAGAGGCCACCGGCAGGGCCCTGGTGGGATGTGGGGATCGGGCACTGCCCGGACTGGAAGAGCAGCCAGCCTAAGGCCGGCTGGGGAGTCTGTGCTGCCCAGGAGGGCAGGAACTGGCATCCAGGGATGGGGCTCGGGCAAGTATCTGGGCAGCCGAGAGCCCACTAGGGGTGCGTTGATATCACGTCCTTCCACAACACTTGTAGTTCTCGCTGTGGCTTCTTCTTCGCTCCGCTAGGTCTAAACATAATTGTTATTTAATTTAATTTAATTTATTATTATTGTTATGTTTTTAAAATTTGCAGGACCAGCAGATAGTGTCATGGTTTCATCACTGGACTCTGGGTCAAGTCCTGGACCTGGCAGCCTAAAACTCACACTGGGCGTGTGTACGCGCATGCCCAAAATCCTGAGAGGAGAAGAGGAGAAGGGCTGCAGGGTGGCCATCCCTCCCGGGAGGTGATTTCTCACTTTTCTGTCTCTCTCTCCCCAGTAAGTACATGCACCCTATAGCAAAAATCTCTCTATAAAAAAACTGAAAAGAAACTCCGTGTTTATTTTCCATCAGTTATTTCCAGTTGGCATGAGAGCAGGGACTGCAGCTGGCCAAGGTCCAGGGCTGCAGGGATCCCTGGGGCCCACACACGTGCCATCAGCTCAGCCTGCGGACCTCAGGCCGGCCAGGCAGCCGAGGAACTGGGAGTCCTTCACCCACCGGCTCCCAGGCACAGTCCCCCCCACCCCACCGCACAGCCTTCCTAATACCAGCGTGGCCACCTGCCTGTTGCCCAGGGTCTCCGGGAGCAGCCAGCTTGCAGACCGCCCGTCTCACTGCCAGGTCGCCATCGCCTCTCCCCGGCGTCCCCCACACCGCACCCAGGCGAGCTCCCCGTTGTTTCACGGGCGGCAGCCCATATACCAGAGTCTGCGTTGCACGGAGTGGTGGCAGACCTCTGTGAGAGGCTGTCGGTCGCCCTGGGGCCCGTGAGCACTGGCAAGGGCAGCTCCGGGGCCATGGGGACCTGCTGGGTGATGGTTGCAGGAGTGACCGGCAGCAGTAGGGCAGTGGACGTGGCCCTGCAGCGGGCAGGGCTGAGCAATCGGAGCCATGCCGAAGCCCCCTCAGGGCCTGTGTGCATTCATGGTGTCCTACTGTCCCACTGAGTCCCGGGTCAGGTGCCCCATCTCCTGCTGCAGGAACCCAACGTGCTCCTGCGCTTGCAGACCCCAGGGCTCGGACCCCACAGGCTTTCCCCTACATTCCCACGGGAGCCCTGAAAGCCTCTGAGCCTCCCTGCAGTGGACCCCCTTCCCGCTGGAGTCTGCCAGTGGGGACACGGGGTGGAGCTGCAGGCCTGGCAGGCAGGGAGGGCCAGCGGGCAGCAGCCCCTGTCACCTGGACTCAGGACCGCCACCCAGCAAGCCCTCCCAGGGCCAGCACTCTGTGGCCTGGAGAGCAGGAAGGGAGAGGGGACAGGAAGGGAATGGGGGACAATGTGGCTAAAGGGGAAAGGCCTGGCAGCTGCAGAGGCCGTGCTGAGCAGAGTGAGGCAGAGAGCCTCAGGGTGACCACATCCAGCACGATGGGGGGCTGTCAGCAGTCACCCTCCTCCCGCACCTCACTCCTGCAGTCAGGGGGCGTGGGGGGGGCAGGGGTTGTGTCTGTATGGGCAGGGGTGTGTGTGTGTGTGTCTGTGTGTGGGGAGGAGTGTGGGGGGCAGGAGCGGCAGCTCGGTATCTCTGAGAGTGGGTGGGCTTCAGCCTGGGTAGGTCTAATGTTTTCCATAAAGGTCACCTGGCTGAGTCAGGGAGGCACAGTCAGCCTAGGCGGGGACACCATCCCAGCTCACCTTCCGGAACCCCTAGCCCCAGCCCAACACCCAGGAAATCTGGCAGGCACTTAGAAGGGCCCTGTCACCTCCTTTTCCAGACCCCTGGGAGCAGCCATCCCAGAGATCCTGAGGCACTATAGGAATCAAAATCAAGCAACCAGTCTGCCCAGAATTCTCATGGCACATCCCTAGCCTGACGCTCTGAAAATACTTATTTAATTTATCATTATTATTTAAAAATTTGTTATAGCACATGTGTGCTCACCAGACAGAGAAAGAGAGAGAGAGAGAGAGAGCGAGCAAGCAAGCTGTCAGGTCCAGGATCAAAATGTAGTCAGCCACGTGGGAGTCCAGTGCCCTAACCACCACGTTACCTGTTGGCCCCTGACATTTTTTAAAAAGAATTATTTGTGGGGCTGGCAGGTGGCGTGGTGGTTAAAGGCACTGGACTCCTACATGGCTGACTGTGGTTTGAGTCCCAGACCTGGTGGCTTGCTCTGTCTTTCTCTCTGTCAAAATTCAAAAGTAATGATAATAAATAAATAATTTTTAGAAGAATTGTTTCACTTTATTATTATTATTATTTAATTTGACCAGAGAGAGACAAAGAGAGAAAGAGAGGGAAAGTGAGAAAGCAAGCTGCCAGGTTTGGGACTTGAACCACATGGAGTCCAACACTTCAACACCACACCACCTGCTGGCCTGACTTCTTTTTTTCTTATCTAAGCTTCTTTCTTTCATGAGCGAGAGAAACATAGACACACACACACACACACACACACACACATACACACACACACATATACACACACACATACACACATGGCCCCCGACAGGGTTCCTACACAGACATACACACACACACATACACACACACATACACACATGGTCCCTGATAGGGTTCCTACACAGACACACACACACACACACACATACACACATGGCCCCCGATAGGATTCCTACACAGACACACACACATACACACGGCCCCTGACAGGGTTCCTACACAGACACACACGGCCCCCGACAGGGTTCCTACACACACACACACACACACACACACACATACACACATGGCCCCCGATAGGGTTCCTCCACAGACACACACACATACACATCGACCCC